ATGAGGGTGTGATTGAGTGTGTGCATGATGAGAGTGTGATTGTGTATTTGATGAGAGTGTGATTGAGAGTGTATTTGATGAGAGTGTGATTAAGAGTGTACATTATGATGAGTGTGTGATTGAGAGTGTACATGATGATGAGTGTGTGATTGAGTGTGTATTTGATGAGAGTGTGATTAAGAGTGTACATTATGAGAGTGTGATTGAGAGTGTACATGATGATGAGTGTGTGATTGTGTATTTGATGAGTGTGATTAAGAGTGTACATTATGAGAGTGTGATTGAAAATATACATAATGATGAGTGTGACTGAGTGTGTATTTGATGAGAGTGTGATTGAGTGTGTATTTGATGAGAGTGTGATGAGTGTACGTGATGGTGAGTGTGTGATTGAGTGTGTATTTGATGAGAGTGTGATTGAGTGTGTGCATGATGAGAGTGTGATTGAGGGTTTATTTGATGATAGTGTGATTGAGTGTGTATTTGATGAGAGTGTGATTGAGTGTGTGCATGATGAGAGTGTGATTGAGAGTGTACATGATGAGTGTGTGATTGAGTGTATTTGATGAGTGTGTGATTGAGTGTATTTGATGAGTGTGTGATTGAGTGTATTTGATGAATGTGTGATTGAGTGTGTATTTGATGAGTGTGATTGAGAGTGTACATGATGATGAGTATGTGATTGAGTGTGTATTTGATGAGTGTGATTGAGTATGTACATCAATGGAGTATGATTGAGTGTGTATTTGATGAGAGTGTGATTAAGAGTGTACATTATGAGTGTGATTAAGAGTGTATTTTATGAGAGTGTGATTAAGAGTGTACATTATGAGTGTGATTGAGAGTGTATTTGATGAGTGTGATTAAGAGTGTACATTATGAGTGTGTGATTGAGTGTGTATTTGATGAGAGTGTGATTAAGAGTGTACATTATGAGTGTGTGATTGATGAGAGTGTGATTAAGAGTGTACATTATGAGTGTGTGATTGAGAGTGTATTTGATGAGAGTTTGATTAAGAGTGTACATTATGAGTGTGTGATTGAGTGTGTATTTGAGGAGTGTATGATTAAGAGTGTAAATTATGAGTGTGTGATTGAGAGTGTATTTGATGAGTGTGTGATTGAGTGTGTACATTGAGTGTGTGATTGAGTGAGATGAGAGAGTGATTGTGTATTTGATGTGTGTGTACATGATGATGAGTGTGTGATTAAGAGTGTACATGATGATGAGTGTGTGATTGAGTGTGTACATGATGATGAGTGTGTGATTGAATGTGTACATGAGTGTGTGATTGTGAAAGTGTGCATGATGATGAGTGTGTGATTGAGAGTGCACATGATGATGAGTGTGTATTTGATGAGTGTGATTGAGAGTGTATTTGATGAGAGTGTACATTATGAGTGTGTGATTGAATGTGTATTTGATGAGTGTGGTTGAGAGTGTACATGATGAGTGTGTGATTGAGTGTATTTGATGAGAGTGTGATTGAGTGTACATGAAGATGAGTGTGTGATTGAGAGTGTACATGATGAGTGTGTATTTGATTAGTGTGATCCAGTGTGTACATTATGAGTGTGTGATTGATAGTGTATTTCATGAGTGTGATTAAGAGTGTACATTATGAGTGTGTGATTGACTGTGTATGAGTGCAATTGAGTGTACATGGTGATTGTGTATTTGATGAGTGTGATTTAGTGTATTTGATGAGTGTGTGATTGAGAGTGTATTTGATGAGTGTATTTGATGAGTGTGATTCAGTGTGTATTTGATGAGTGTGAATGAGAGTGTACATGATGAGTGTGTGATTGTGTGTACATGATGAGTGTGTGATTGTGAGTGTACATGATGATGAGTGTGTGATTGAGAGTGTACATGATGATGAGTGTGTATTTGATGAGAGTGTACATTATGAGTGTGTGATTGAATGTGTATTTGATGAGTGTGATTGAGTGTGTATTTGATGAGTGTGGTTGAGAGTGTACGTGATGAGTGTGTGATTGAGTGTATTTGATGAGAGTGTGATTGAGTGTACATGATGATGAGTGTGTGATTGAGTGTATTTGATGAGTGTGTGATTGTGTACATGATGATGAGTGTGTGATTGAGTATTTGATGAGTGCGATTGAGAGTGTACATGGTGAGTGTGTGATTGTGTATTTGATGAGAGTGTGATTGAGTGTATTTGATGAGTATGATTGAGAGTGTATTTGATGAAATTGTGATTGAGTGTACATTATGAGAGTGTGATTGTTTATTATATGAGGGTGTGATTGAGAGTGTTTTTGATGAGTGATTGAGAGTGTATTTGATGAGTGTGATTGAGAGTGTATTTGATGAGTGTGTGATTGAGAGTGTATTTGATGAGAGTGTACAATATGAGTGTGTATTTGGTGAGTGTGATTGAGAGTGTACATGATGATGAGTGTGTGATTGAGTGTGTACATGATGATGAGTGTGTGATTGAGCGTGTACACATGATGATGAGTGTGTGATTGAGAGTGTACATGATGAGTGTGTATTTGATTAGTGTGATCCAGAGTGTACATTATGAGTGCGTGATTGATAGTGTATTTCATGAGTGTGATTAAGAGTGTACATTATGAGTGTGTGATTGAGTGTGTATATGAGTGCAATTGAGAGTGTACATGGTGAGTGTGTGATTGTGTATTTGATGAGTGTGTGATTGAGAGTGTATTTGATGAGTGTGATTGAGTGTGTATTTGATGAGTGTGATTGAGAGTGTACATTATGAGTGTGTGATTGAGTGTGTACATGATGATGAGTGTGTGATTGAGAGTGTACATGATGATGAGTGTGTGATTGAGTGTACATGATGAGTGTGTATTTGATGAGTGTGATTGAGAGTGTACATGATGATTGTGTGATTGAGTGTATTTGATGAGAGTGTGATTGAGAGTGCACATAATGATGAGTGTGTGATTGAGTGTATTTGATGAGTGTGTGATTGTGTACATGATGATGAGTGTGTGATTGAGTGTGTATTTGATGAGTGCGATTGAGAGTGTACATGGTGAGTGTGTGATTGTGTATTTGATGAGAGTGTGATTGAGTGTATTTGATGAGTGTGTGATTGAGTGTACATTATGAGAGTGTGATTGAGTGTTTATTTTATGAGGGTGTGATTGAGAGTGTTTTTGATGAGTGATTGAGAGTGTATTTGATGACAGTGTGATTGAGAGTGTATTTGATGAGTGTGTGATTGAGAGTGTATTTGATGAGAGTGTACAATATGAGTGTGTATTTGATGAGTGTGATTGAGAGTGTACATGATGATGAGTGTGTGATTGAGTGTGTACATGATGATGAGTGTGTGATTGAGCGTGTACACATGATGATGAGTGTGTGATTGAGAGTGTACATGATGAGTGTGTATTTGATTAGTGTGATCCAGAGTGTACATTATGAGTGCGTGATTGATAGTGTATTTCATGAGTGTGATTAAGAGTGTACATTATGAGTGTGTGATTGAGTGTGTATATGAGTGCAATTGAGAGTGTACATGGTGAGTGTGTGATTGTGTATTTGATGAGTGTGTGATTGAGAGTGTATTTGATGAGTGTGATTGAGTGTGTATTTGATGAGTGTGATTGAGAGTGTACATGATGAGTGTGTGATTGAGTGTGTACATGATGATGAGTGTGTGATTGAGAGTGTACATGATGATGAGTGTGTGATTGAGTGTACATGATGAGTGTGTATTTGATGAGTGTGATTGAGAGTGTACATGATGATTGTGTGATTGAGTGTATTTGATGAGAGTGTGATTGAGAGTGTACATAATGATGAGTGTGTGATTGAGTGTATTTGATGAGTGTGTGATTGTGTACATGATGATGAGTGTGTGATTGAGTGTGTATTTGATGAGTGCGATTGAGAGTGTACATGGTGAGTGTGTGATTGTGTATTTGATGAGAGTGTGATTGAGTGTATTTGATGAGTGTGTGATTGAGTGTACATTATGAGAGTGTGATTGAGTGTTTATTTTATGAGGGTGTGATTGAGAGTGTTTTTGATGAGTGATTGAGAGTGTATTTGATGACAGTGTGATTGAGAGTGTATTTGATGAGTGTGTGATTGAGAGTGTATTTGATGAGAGTGTACAATATGAGTGTGTATTTGATGAGTGTGATTGAGAGTGTACATGATGATGAGTGTGTGATTGAGTGTGTACATGATGATGAGTGTGTGATTGAGAGTGTACATGATGATGAGTGTGTGATTGAGAGTGTACATGATCATGAGTGTGTATTTGATGAGTGTGATTAAGTGTATTTGATGAGTGTGATTAAAAGTGTACATTATGAGTGTGTGACTGAATGTGTGTTTGATGAGAGTGATTGAGTGTGTATTTGATGAGTGTGATTGAGAGTGTACATGATGATGAGTGTGTATTTGATTAATGTGATCCAGTGTGTACATTATGAGTGTGTGATTGAGTGTATTTGATGAGAGTGTGATTGAGTGTGTGCTTGATGAGAGTGTGATTGAGTGTGTGCATGAGTGTGATTGAGAGTGTATTTGATGAGAGTGTACATTATGAGTGTGTGATTGAATGTGTATTTGATGAGTGTGATTGAGAGTGTACATGATGATGAGTGATTAAGAGTGTACATTATGAGTGTGTGATTGAGTGTACATGATGAGTGTGTGATTGAGTGTACATGATGATGAGTGTGTGATTGAGTGTACATTACGAGTGTGTGATTGAGAGTGTACATGAGTGTGTGATCGAGTGTACATTATGAGTGTGTGATTGAGAGTGTATTTGATGAGAGTGTGATTAAGAGTGTACATTATGAGTGTGTGATTAAGAGTGTACATTATGAGTGTGTGATTGAGAGTGTGCATTATGAGAGTGTGATTGAGAGTGTACACCAATGGAGTGTGATCGAGTGTGCAACGTCGGTTTCGTTTCACGCAGGCATCTCCATTCGACGAGTTCAAAAACCACACGGCGTGCGCCCTCCCCCTCCCGAACTCAAATCGAATAACTTTTATTCATAGACTATGTAAAGAGACACACGCGCGCTCTCTAAAAAGGCTGTCGCAATAACAAACACGCAAGGGGTGCGTCCGTAACAACAGACAAGACCATTCGAGGCGGTAAAAATGAAGAAAAAAAACGAAATAAACATTTACAAATGGGACGACGGCGCAGAGGCTTGCGGACGCAACGACGGGGACGGAAACACCCGGCAAAGGGCGAGCGACTGGGTGGGGTGGGGGGGGGGTGGAACGCCGCGAGCGGGCGCCACTCCGCCCACCGCCGGCTATTCACGGCCACGTCGCAGGACAGACGCTTGACCACCGAGAGCCCGGTGGGTCACGCTTGGCGGCGGTGCGGGCACCGGCGCGTTAACCCGGCGGTGTGCCGCGACGGTGGCAAAGGTTGGCGGGTCGGCACGCGGATCCCGGGGGGAGGGGGGGGCCCTCGTTACCCGCGGGTCGGCTGCCGTCTGGAGGAGGGGGAGAAGCTGTGACCTCGGAGAAAGACATTTTTTTTAAGTTATAAAATGAAAAAAAATCCGTCGCTGGAAAAGGAAAAAAAAAGAAAAACCCGCGGGTATCCGGAGCCGCGCGCGTCGTCGAATTCAGAGGCCGCTGTCGCCCCCTCGTGCCCTCGCCGTGCCCTCGCCGTGCCCTCGCCGTGCCCTCGCCGTGCCCTCGCCGTGCCCTCGCCGTGCCCGCCCGCCCGCCCCGTTTGCCACGCCGAGTTGGTTCTTTTTTTTGACGCAATTCAAAACAACAAAAAACGGGCTCTCCTCCATTGCGGTTTCACACCGCCGTGACCTTCGGTTGCCGATCACCGTAAAATGTTCTCGGGCGTGCGGGGCGTCAAAGTGTGTGGGGGGGGGGGTGTACGCAAAGTGGCGGGCGGGCGGGAGTCTTCGCCCGGTGTGTTCGTGGCGCGCCAACCACCGCCGCTGCGCTAACCGCGCTGCCTCCCCAAGGCGGCGGAAACCGAGGCTCCGACTCCGAGCGGCGATGTTCACCACAAAGGCAAAAGAGGTTTCCCCCCCCCCCGCCCCGCCCCAGGCTGTTGGGGGAAAGTGGTGTTTCGTGGCGAGCAGCACCATCTGATAAATCCGGCGGAGCAGTGTTTGCTGCACGCCGCAGCACCCGGTACCTCCTTTGAAGCCGAGACGACCTAGGGGAGGGCCCCACTGGACCTGTTGTTCGGATGACCGTCGGTTGCGTTGGGTTGGTTGTCCCACGAGCAGGGAATCAAACTCGGCTCGTCGGTGGGTTCGTGGCACGCTAACCGCTGCACTAATCGCCGCGAAAATCGCGCCGCCTCCCCAAGGCGGCAGGGGATCAGGGCTCGAAATCCAGGTGGGTGCCCGGTGACGGCAAACTTCCGATGGGTTCATGGCCGAGGCCGCAACGGTGCCAAAGACATTTTTGTTACAACGCTGGAGTGATTCAGTGGACACCCAGACCCAGGGCTTGAAACCCAGGCTCTAGGCAACAGTGGTGGGCTCTGTGTCACACAGCCATCGTGAACTCTTACAAACACAGACCCAGAGCTCGAACCTAGGCTCTAGGCAACAGTGCTGGCTCTGTGTGATACAGCCATCGTGAACTCTTACAAACACAGACCCAGGGCTCGAACCTAGGCTCTCAGCAACAGTGCTGGCTGTGTCACACAGCCATCGTGAACTCTTACACAGACCCAGGGCTCGAACCTAGGCTCTCAGCAACAGTGCTGGCTCTGTGTCACAGCCATCGTGAACTCTTACAAACACAGACCCAGGGCTCGAACCTAGACTCTAGGCAACAGTACTGGCTCTATGTCACACAGCCATCGTGAACTCTTACAAACACAGACCCAGGGCTCGAACCTAGGCTCTCAGCGACAGTGCTGGCTGTGTCACACAGCCATCGTGAACTCTTACACAGACCCAGGGCTCGAACCTAGGCTCTCAGCAACAGTGCTGGCTCTGTGTCACACAGCCATCGTGAACTCTTACAAACACAGACCCAGGGCTCGAACCTAGGCTCTCGGCGACAGTGCAAGCTCTGTGTGACACAGCCATCGTGAACTCTTACACAGACCCAGGGCTCGAACCTAGACTCTAGGCAACAGTACTGGCTCTATGTCACACAGCCATCGTGAACTCTTACAAACACAGACCCAGGGCTCGAACCTAGGCTCTCAGCCATCGTGTAAACTTACAAACACAGACCCAGGGCTCGAACCCAGTCAATAAGCAGTTCCGGTCCAATGCCTCACAACACAGCGACTATCATCAACACCCCCCCAACCTCACCGACAGCAAGACAGAAAGTCGTGACCCAGTCCCTGGGCTCCAACTCAAGTGGCGGTTGACGGGGTGACGCGCGCGCGTGCACGGAAAGCCGTCGTTCAGCAAACAACAGGCCAGGAGCCCTTCAACCGAGGCCCCTTGCAACGTCGCCGTGATCCAGCGCCTCGCAAGCGCAGCGGCCGTCAACCTGAAGCCCGCGCACGGAACACGGCCGTGACGACGAACCCCAGCGAGATCCTCCGGCGGCGAGCGGACGCCCGAACCCGGCCTCCTCCTCCTCGCTACTGCCAACACCACCACCAACACCACCACCACGCATGGACTCCCAAAACCGGTCTCCTCCTCCTCCTCACTACCGCCACCACCACCACACGTGGACTCCCAAACCCGGTCTCCTCCTCCTCACTACCACCACACGTGGACTCCCAAACCCGGTCTCCTCCTCACTACCGCCTCCACCACCACACGTGGACTCCCAAACCCAGTCTCCTCCTCCTCCTCCTCCTCACTACCACCACCACACGTGGACTCCCAAACCCGGTCTCCTCCTCCTCACTACTGCCACCACCACCACCACACGTGGACTCCCAAACCCAGTCTCCTCCTCACTACTGCCACCACCGCCGCCACCACCGCCACCACCGCCACGCGTGGACTCCCAAACCCAGTCTCCTCCTCCTCACCACCGCCACCACCACCGCCACCACTGCCACGCGTTGACTCCCAAACCCAGTCTGCTCCTCCTCTACGAAAACGGCCATTATGGGCCCGGCCACGGGCACCTTCCCCCCCCCCTCACCCTCCACCCCCCCCCCCCCCCCTAGTGCTTCTTGCCAAAGACGTTGGCGAGACGGCCGCCGTAGCCCTGTGCGGTCGTCGCATTGAACGCCGGGGCGAATTTGGAGGACGAGGAGACGCCGCCGGTGATGCCGGCGGCGTCACCGGCGGCCAGCGGGGGGCTGTGCCAGACAGCGGAGCTGGTGCGCTTCAAGTAGTGCGTCTTGCGCTGGTTGAAGATCTCCTCCAGCATGGGGGCGGGGATGGCGCCGAAGAGGACGTCGAGGTCGGGCGGTGCCCTGTACTGCCCCCTCAGGGCCTCCATCAGCTGGGCCTCTGCGCGCGAGGCACGGGGGGGGGGGGGGGGGGGGGGGTGGTGAGGAGCGGACGGGGAGCGAGAGGGGAGGTGAGGGTGGGGGAGAGGAGGGGATGGTGAGGAGCGGGGTGGTGAGGAGCGGACGGAGAGCGAGTGAGTAAAGCGGGTGGTCGAGCGAGTGAGCGAGCGGGTGGTCGAGCGAGTGAGCGAGCGGGTAGTTGAGCGAGTGAGCGAGCGGGTGGTTGAGCGAGTGAGTGAGCGGGTGGTTGTGCGAGTGAGTGAGCGGGTGGTCGAGTGAGTGAGCGGTCGAGCGAGTGGGTGGTTGAGCGAGTGAGTGAGCGGGTGGTTGAGCGAGTGAGTGAGCGGGTGGTCGAGCGAGTGAGTGAGCCGGTGGTCGAGCGAGTGAGCGGGTGGTTGAGCGACTGAGTGAGTGAGCGAGCAGGCGGGCGAGTGAGTGGTTGAGTGATCGGGCGAGTGAGTGGTTGAGTGATCGGGCGAGCGAGTACATGTTTGAGGGAGTGTGTGAGCGAGCGAGCAAGAGGATGAGCGAGCGAGTGTGCGAGCAACAATGTGTATTTGAGCGAGTGGTTGAGTGAGTGAGCAAGCGAACGAGAGGGTGGGCGAGTGAGTGGTTGAGTGATCGGGCGAGCGAGTACATGTTTGAGTAAATGTGTGATCGAGTGAGTGAGCGAGCGAGCAAGCGGTTGAGTGGGCGAGTGCGGGTGAGTGAGTGATCGAGCGTGTGGTTTAGCGAGCGAGTGTGCGAGCGAGTGATTGAGCGATCGGGCAAGCGAGTACATGTTTGAGCGAGCGTGTGAGCGAGCGAGCGAGCACCTCGTGCCCAGGAGGGGATGGGCTTGCGTGGCTTCGACTCGTCGTCTGTGGAGTCGTCGCTGTTCTGGTCCATGCCGTAGGTCTCCAAGGATTTGGCTCGCGGCTGCTGCTTCATCGTCGTCATCATCGTTGTCCTGGGGGTCCTGGCGGCGGCGGTGCCTGGCGGGGTTGAGTTCTGCCCGGCGTTCACACACGTGCACACGCGCGTGTCAATGCACGTGCGCGCGCGTCAATGTAGTACGTGCGCACACACATGCGTCACACACACGTGTCAATACACGCATGCATACATACATACACACGTCAACACACACACGTCAACACACACACGTCAACACACACACACACGTCAACACGCACACACATCAACACACACACACACACGCACGTCAACACGCACACACGTCAACACACACACACACGCACGTCAACACGCACACACGTCAACACACACACACGTCAACACACACACACGTCAACACGCACGCACACGCACGTCAACACGCACACACATCAACACACACACACACGCACGTCAACACGCACACACGTCAACACGCACGCACGCCGACGTCACTGCGGTGCGGTGACGTCGTCGCCGCCGCCGCCGCACGGCACGTACCAGGATCATGGTGCCGTTGAGGAGGTTCGTGTTGAGCGCCCGGCCGTCGTTCTCCTTCTGCTGCTTGCTGCTGCGAGTCATGAGGAGGAATGATCACATGGAGGGAGGGAGGGGAGGGGAGGGAAGGGAGGGAGGGAGGGAGGGGAGAGGAGGGAGTGAGGGGAGGGGAGGGAGGGGAGAGGAGGGAGGGAGTGAGGGAGGGGAGGGAGTGAGGGAGGGGAGAGGAGGGAGTGAGGGCGGGAGTGAGGGGAGGGGAGGGAGTGAGGGGAGGGGAGGGAGTGAGGGGAGGGGAGGGAGGGGAGAGGAGGGAGTGAGGGCAGGAGGGAGGGGAGGGGAGGGAGGGAGGGGAGAGGAGGGAGGGGAGGGGAGGGGAGGGAGCGGAGGGAGGGGGGTAGAGAGGGAGGGAGAGTACATTATATGTACAGGTGAACTCTTTTTTTACAAGCCACCTGGCTACCACAAATGACAGGAGCCCAACCGAGTGGCCAGCGTCGTCGTCGTCATCATCCCCGCCGCCGCCGCCGCGTAGAAATTTAAAGCAGCAGCCAAAATGCTCCGCAAGCGCACGCTTCCAAAAACAAATAATCATCGGGCAGCGGCCGATCATCCCACCGGGAACCACTCATCGAGGACCCACACTCAAACTAAACTATTTTTTTTATTTTACCAGGGCGACGCCCACTGAGCGTGGTTCTCTCCGTGGGTCTCTGCGGGCCTCTGTGGCCCTACGGGAATCCCCGGGGCTCTGTGGGCGTCCAGCGGGCCTCTATTTCGCCGCTGCTGTAAAATGCCCACACGTGACGACAAGCCACGGGCTGGGGCGTTGTGTCACGCGGCCTGATGACGCAATTCCGAAACGCTGCCACCCGCGCGTTCCTATAAAAGGTCTGAAGGGTGCAAGAGCGCGGCCGCGGTATTCCAAAAAGGCGCAGCACGCAAGGAGCGTGCCAACGGAGGACTGCCCCCGTACCTCGAGGCCTCCAGTCGCCCCTCATTCTTCTGCTCCTGCTGCTGCTGCTGCTGCTTCTGATCCAGTCGCTTCTGCAGCTCTTCCCGCTGCCTCAGCCGCTGCTCCGCCGCATGCCGTCTCTGTCGCTGCTTCTCCGCCTCCTCCGTCTCCCTCTGTCTCTGAGCCTCCGTCTCCCTCTGTCTCTGAGCCTCCGTCTCCCTCTGTCTCTGAGCCTCCGTCTCCCTCTGTCTCTGAGCCTCCGTCTCCCTCTGTCTCTGAGCCTCCGTCTCCCTCTGTCTCTGAGCCTCCGTCTCCCTCTGTCTCTGAGCCTCCGTCTCCCTCTGTCTCTGAGCTTCAGTCTCCCTCTGTCTCTGAGCCTCCGTCTCCCTCTGTCTCTGAGTCTCCATCTCCCTCTGTCTCTGAGCTTCAGTCTCCCTCTGAGCCTCCATCTCCCTCTGTCTCTGAGCTTCAGTCTCCCTCTGTCTCTGAGCCTCTGTCTCCCTCTGTCTCTGAGCCTCCATCTCCCTCTGTCTCTGAGCTTCAGTCTCCCTCTGTCTCTGAGCCTCCGTCTCCATCTGTATCTGAGCTTCAGCCTCCCTCTGAGCCTCTGTCTCCCTCTGTCTCTGAGCTTCAGTCTCCCTCTGTCTCTGAGCTTCAGTCTCCCTCTGAGCCTCCGTCTCCCTCTGTCTCTGAGCCTCCGTCTCCATCTGAGCTTCAGTCTCCATCTGTCTCTGAGCCTCCGTCTCCCTCTGAGCTTCAGTCTCCCTCTGTCTCTGAGCGTCCATCTCCCTCTGTCTCTGAGCTTCAGTCTCCCTCTGTCTCTGAGCCTCCATCTCCCTCTGTCTCTGAGCCTCAGTCTCCCTCCATGCAGTCTCCTGCTCCTCCTGCCCGGGCAAGCACAATCACACAAGGGTGGGGGGGGGGGGTTTAAAAGTTAAAACAAGCACGGTTAGCGAGCTCCTATCAATGCCACTAGGGTGACAAAGGCGGCCGGGAGTGGCGCTGGCCACCCACCCCTGCATGTGCCGTGTCGGCCTTCATAGGTGCTTGCCAGCGGCACTTGCCCCAACAGTCCGTTACGGCTATATGGGAGATCTTCATGTTTGTCGTCAGCAGTGGCGAAGTGGAGAGTGTGCGCTACAAACTCGGTAACCAGAGTTCGATTGCCGCGCACGGTCACCTGGGCGCGTGGTGATGATTATCTGAACCGGTCCTGGGCCTCCCCCTAGGTCGACCCAGCCTCAAATGAGCACCCGGTGCGATGTGTAAACCTCGCCACTGGGGAGACAAAGGCGGCCGGGCGCGGTGTTGGCCACCCACTCCCCTCGTGTCGTGCCGGCCTTCATTAGGTGCTACTCGCTAACAGCGCTACTGGGCAGTTAGAGGCAGTCGCCCTCCAGCAACAACGGGGGGCAGAGGAGCGACGCTCACAACGACGAGCGGAGCGCCGGGCTGATAAAACGCAGCCAGGTGCCGCAGTGGGGAGCACAGGTGGTGGTGCATCTGCCGGTCATCTCAGTCGGGTCAACCCATGGCACCTGCTGGATCTGACCCGTGACCTCCTCCTGCCAGCGAGCCTTCGACACTTCACGTGATGGCCTCAAAAGTGCACCTGGCCTGCACAGGCGCCACCGTAATGTCACCGTCACTTAGTGGTGAATGGCGGGTATTGGTATTGATGTGTGTATGGTTCTGCGTGTGTGTATATCAGTGTGTGTGTATATTGACGTGTGTGTCTATGTGTAGGTGTGTGTGTATTGAGGTGTGCGCGTGTATATCAACGTGTTTCTGTATTTGTGTGTGTTGTATTGACGTGTGTATAGGTGTGTGTATTGATGTGTGTGTGTACGTGTGTGTTGACGTGTCTGTGTGTATAAGAGTGTGTGTACTGATGCGTGTGTATAGGTGTGTGTGTGGTGGTCCCCCTCATTAAGAAGGGGGACCGCACAGACTAACAACTACAGGGGCATCTCACTCCTCAGTGTGCCGGGAAAGGTCCTGGAAAGGATTATTCAACATCGCCTTGCTAGGCATGCTGAGGAGAGGGTTGCGGAGCCTTAATGTGGTTTCAGGAAAGGGCGGTCCTGCACGGATGCCATACTTTCTGTCCGTCTACTACAGCAGAGGTGTAGGGAATTCTAACAAGACCTACTTTATTGACCTGGTCAAGGCCTATGATACCATCAGTAGGCCTGGGCTCTGGGTTGTTCTTCGTGCTTTCGGAGTCCCTGACCCTCTGCTCACGATCATAAAGGACCTTCGTGATGGTGAGCTGGCCCGGGTAAAACTACGTGGCCGGGAGTCGGAGCCATTCCCTGTTCACCTTGGGGTGTAACAGGGATGTCCTCTGGCTCTCACATTATTTAACATCTATTTTGACCAGGTAGTTCGTGAGGCCTTAAATAGCTGTACCGGAGGAATTTCCATCTCGTAGAGATATAATGGAAGACTGATCGATGCCCGGGTGCGGTCAAGGGATGGCTCCCTATTGCTCAACCATGTTATGTATGCCGATGATCTGGTAATCGCTGCTCACTCAGAGGAGGAGTTGGAGGCGCTACTGCTAAACCTGGAGCTTGCCACTAAGAGGTAGGGCCTTACCATCAGCCCCACCAAAATTAAGCACCTGCCATGGTATTTTGTACAATCGGACACTCCACCCCCACAACTCCCAATTGGTGATGGGGCAGTTGTGGAGAGAGTGGAGAGTTCCCATATCTGGGCAGTGTGCTTATGACCGGCTCCGGTTTAAAAGCAGAAGTCTCACTCCAAATCAGTCGAGCGGCATTATCTTTTCATCGGTTGCGTAAAGCTGTGTGGAAGCTACCTGGACTGTCGCTCCGCATGAAGCTTCAGGTCTTCTCGGCCACGGTCATTCCCTCCCTTCCCTACACTTGCGAAACGTAGACCCACCTAATGGAACATCTTCGCCGGTTCGAAACATTTAGGCTGGCCTGCCTACGATCAATCCTGGGTTTAACCAGGCTAGATTGTGTGAAGAGCTCACAAATCCTTGAAAGATCTGGACAAAGTCCCATCGGTGAGCTCCTCAGGCAGGCAAGGCTGCGTTGGCTGGGCCATGTAGCCCGCATGCAAAGTCACCAAATGGCTAAACAGCTATTGTTCGGCCGGATCGGGAGGGGCTAAACGGGCGCGGCACGGGCCAGAGAAGAGATGGAGTGATGTGGTACAGGAGGATGTGGAGCTGAGTGGACTTGCCGATGACTGGTACCAGCGGTGTCAACATCGGCCTCTGTGGAGGAGGCTCGTGAAGGATGCTACTGGGCAGTTGGAGGCAGTCGCCCTCCAACAACAACGGAGGGCGGAGGAGCGACGCTCACAACAACGAGCGGAGCGCCGGGTGGCTAAAGCACAGCAAGTTGGCACAGTAGGGGGCACAGGTGGTGCATCAGCCACTCATCTCAGTCACTCGACCCGTGGCACCTGGGTATGCCCCGTGACCTTCTGCCAGTGGGCGTTCGACACTTCACGTGGTCTCAAGGTGCACATAGCCTGGCACAAGCATCGTGGTGACGTCACCGCCACTTCGTGGCGAATAGCGGTTGTTGTGTATATGAACGTGTGTGCGTGTAGCGGTGAGCGCGCTGCGCTACGAACCTGGCGACCCGGGTTCGATTCTCGCTCACAGCCTACACCGGTGACGATTATCTGAACAGGTCCTGGGCATCCCCCTAGGTCGACTCAGCCTCAAGTGAGCACCCGGTGCGATGTGTAAACATCGCCACTGGGGAGACAAAGGCGGCCGGGCGCGGTGTTGGCCACCGACCCCCTCGTGTGCTGTGCCAGCCTTCATAGGTGCTACTCGCTAACAGCACTTGCTCCTACAAGTCTGTTAAGGCTACACGGGGGATCTTTGCCCTTGCGTATAGGTGCGTGCGTGCATTGACGTGTGCTGCGTATCGCTGGCGCGCGTGGCGGCTGGGGCCGCGTGTTGCCGGGTTACCGTGGGAGCGTGCCTCACTCTCTCAGCCGCCGCCGGCATCTCCTCGTCGCCCCCCCCGTGCCTCCTGTTCAGCTTCTTGGCCTTCTCCTCCGCAGCCTTCCCCTCCTTGTTCTGCTGTGGGCATCGCCCCAGGGGCACGTCGTGTCACAAGGGGCAGGAGGAGGGTGGGAGTAGTACTCTGTGGTGTTGTATTGTAGTACTCTGTGGTGCTGTATTGTAGTACTCTGTGGTGCTGTATTGTAGTACTCTGTGGTGCTGTGTTGTAGTACTCTGTGGTACTGTATTGTAATACGCTGTGGTGCTGTAATGTAGTACTCTGTGGTGCTGTATTGTAGTACTCTGTGGTGCTGTATTGTAGTACTCTGTGGTGCTGTATTGTAGTACTCTGTGGTACTGTATTGTAGTACTCTGTGGTGCTGTATTGTAGTACTCTGTAGTGCTGAATTGTAGTACTCTGTGGTGCTGTATTGTAGTACTCTGTGGTGCTGTATTGTAGTACTCTGTGATGCTGTATTGTAGTACTCTGTGGTGCTGTATTGTAGTACTCTGTGGTGCTGTATTGTAGTACTTTGTGGTGCTGTATTGTAGTACTCTGTGGTGCTGTATTGTAGTACTCTGTGGTGCTGTATTGTAGTACTCTGTGGTGCTGTATTGTAGCACTCTGTGGTACTGTATTGTAGTACTCTGTGGTGCTGTATTGTAGTACTCTGTGGTGCTGTATTGTAGTACTCTGTGGTGCTGTATTGTAGTACTCTGTGGTGCTGTATTGTAGTACTCTGTGGTACTGTATTGTAGTACTCTGTGATACTGTATTGTAGTACTCTGTGGTGCTGTATTGTATCACTCTGTAGTGCTGTATTGTAGTACTCTGTGGTACTGTATTGTAGTACTCTGTGGTGCTGTATTGTAGTACTCTGTGATACTGTATTGTAGTACTCTGTGGTGCTGTATTGTAGTACTCTGTGGTGCTGTATTGTAGTACTCTGTGGTGCTGTATTGTAGTACTCTGTGGTGCTGTATTGTAGCACTCTGTGGTGCTGTATTGTAGTACTTTGTGGTGCTGTATTGTAGTACTCTGTGATGCTGTATTGTAGTACTCTGTGGTACTGTATTGTAGTACTCTGTGGTGCTGTATTGTAGTACTCTGTGGTGCTGTATTGTATCACTCTGTAGTGCTGTATTGTAGTACTCTGTGATGCTGTATTGTAGTACTCTGTGGTGCTGTATTGTAGTACTCTGTGGTGCTGTACTGTAGCACTCTGTGGTGCTGTATTGTAGTACTCTGTGATGCTGTATTGTAGTACTCTATGGTACTGTATTGTAGTACTCTGTGGTGCTGTATTGTAGTACTCTGTGGTGCTGTATTGTAGGACTCTGTGGTGCTGTATTGTAGTACTCTGTGGTGCTGTATTGTAGTACTCTGTGGTGCTGTATTGTAGTACTCTGTGGTGCTGTATTGTAGTACTCTGTGGTACTGTATTGTAGTACTCTGTGATGCTGTATTGTAGTACTCTGTGGTACTGTATTGTAGTACTCTGTGGTGCTGTATTGTAGCACTATGTGGTACTGTATTGTAGTACTCTGTGGTACTGTATTGTAGTACTCTGTGGTGCTGTATTGTAGCACTCTGTGGTGCTGTATTGTAGTACTCTGTGGTGCTGTATTGTAGTACTCTGTGGTGCTGTATTGTAGTACTCTGTGGTGCTGTATTGTAGCACTCTGTGGTGCTGTATTGTAGTACTCTGTGGTGCTGTATTGTAGTACTCTGTGGTGCTGTATTGTAGTACTCTGTGGTGCTGTATTGTAGTACTCTGTGGTGCTGTATTGTAGTACTCTGTGGTGCTGTATTGTAGTACTCTGTGGTGCTGTATTGTAGTACTCTGTGGTACTGTATTGTAGTACTCTGTGGTGCTGTATTGTAGTACTCTGTGGTGCTGTATTGTAGTACTCTGTGGTGCTGTATTGTAGTACTCTGTGGTGCTGTATTGTAGTACTCTGTGGTGCTGTATTGTAGTACTCTGTGGTACTGTATTGTAGTACTCTGTGGTGCTGTATTGTAGTACTCTGTGGTGCTGTATTGTAGTACTCTGTGGTGCTGTATTGTAGTACTCTGTGGTGCTGTATTGTAGCACTCTGTGGTGCTGTATTGTAGTACTCTGTGGTGCTGTATTGTAGTACTCTGTGGTGCTGTATTGTAGTACTCTGTGGTGCTGTATTGTAGTACTCTGTGGTGCTGTATTGTAGTACTCTGTGGTGCTGTATTGTAGTACTCTGTGGTGCTGTATTGTAGTACTCTGTGGTGCTGTATTGTAGTACTCTGTGGTGCTGTATTGTAGTACTCTGTGGTGCTGTATGTAGTAACTCTGTGGTGCTGTATTGTAGTACTCTGTGGTGCTGTATTGTAGTACTCTGTGGTTGCTATGTAGTACTCGTGGTGCTATGAGTACTCTGTGGTGCTGTATGTAGTACTCTGTGTGCTATGTATTGTTAGTACTTCTGTGTGCTGTATTGTAGTACTCTGTGCGTGCCTGCTATTGTAGTACTCTGTGGTACCTGTATTGTAGTACTCTGGTGTACTGTATGGTAGGTACTCTGTGGTTGCTGTATTCGTAGTACTCTGTGGTGCTGTATTGTAGTACTCTGTGGTGCTGTATTGTAGTACTCTGTGGTGCTGTATTGTAGTACTCTGTGGTGCCTGTATTGTAGTACTCTGTGGGTTGCTGTTATGTTAGTTACTCTGTTGGTGCTGATATTGTAGTACTCTTTGTGGTGCTGTATTGTAGTACTCTGTGGTGCTATAGTACTCTGTGGTGCTGTATTTTAGTACTCTGTGGTGCTGTATTGTAGTACTCTGTGGTGCTGTATTGTAGTACTCTGTGGTGGTACTGTATTGTAGCACTCTGTGTGCTGTATTGTAGTACTCTGTGGTGCTGTATTGTAGTACTCTGTGGTGCTGTATTGTAGTACTCTGTGGTGCTGTATTGTAGTACTCTGTGGTGCTGTATTGTAGTACTCTGTGGTACTGTATTGTAGCACTCTGTGGTGCTGTATTGTAGTACTCTGTGGTACTGTATTGTAGTACTCTGTGGTGCTGTATTGTAGTACTCTGTGGTGCTGTATTGTAGTACTCTGTGGTGCTGTATTGTAGTACTCTGTGGTGCTGTATTGTAGTACTCTGTGGTACTGTATTGTAGTACTCTGTGGTACTGTATTGTAGTACTCTGTGGTGCTGTATTGTAGTACTCTGTGGTGCTGTATTGTAGTACTCTGTGGTGCTGTATTGTAGTACTCTGTGGTGCTGTATTGTAGTACTCTGTGGTGCTGTATTGTAGTACTCTGTGGTGCTGTATTGTAGTACGCTGTGGTGCTGTATTGTAGTACTCTGTGGTGCTGTATTGTAGTACTCTGTGGTGATGTATTGTAGTACTCTGTGGTGCTGTATTGTAGTACTCTGTGGTGCTGTATTGTAGTACTCTGTGGTGCTGTAGTGTAGTACTCTGTGGTGCTGTATTGTAGTACTCTGTGGTGCTGTATTGTAGTACTCTGTGGTGCTGTATTGTAGTACTCTGTGGTGCTGTATTGTAGTACTCTGTGGTGATGTATTGTAGTACTCTGTGGTGCTGTATTGTAGTACTCTGTGGTGCTGTATTGTAGTACTCTGTGGTGCTGTATTGTAGTACTCTGTGGTACTGTATTGTAGTACTCTGTGGTGCTGTATTGTAGTACTCTGTGGTGCTGTATTGTAGTACTCTGTGGTGCTGTATTGTAGTACTCTGTGGTGCTGTATTGTAGTACTCTGTGGTGCTGTATTGTAGTACTCTGTGGTGCTGTATTGTAGTACTCTGTGGTGCTGTATTGTAGTACTCTGTGGTGCTGTATTGTAGTACTCTGTGGTGCTGTATTGTAGTACTCTGTGGTGCTGTATTGTAGTATGCTGTGGTGCTGTATTGTAGTACTCTGTGGTGCTGTATTGTAGTACGCTGTGGTGCTGTATTGTAGTATTCTGTGGTGCTGTATTGTAGCACTCTGTGGTGCTGTATTGTAGTACTCTGTGGTGCTGTATTGTAGTACTCTGTGGTGCTGTATTGTAGTACTCTGTGGTGCTGTATTGTAGCACTCTGTGGTGCTGTATTGTAGTACTCTGTGGTGCTGTATTGTAGTACTCTGTGGTGCTGTATTGTAGTACTCTGTGGTGCTGTATTGTAGTACTCTGTGGTGCTGTATTGTAGTACTCTGTGGTGCTGTATTGTAGTACTCTGTGGCTGTATTGTAGCACTCTGTGGTGCTGTATTGTAGTACTCTGTGGTGCTGTATTGTAGTACTCTGTGGTGCTGTATTGTAGTACTCTGTGGTGCTGTATTGTAGCACTCTGTGGTGCTGTGCGGTGCGGCTTCGGCGCCCGCACCTTGCTCAGCTTGAGGTCCATCAGGGCGAGCTTCTGCTCCAAGCGGCGCTTCTTCTCCAGGTCCCTCTGCTCCATCTTCTCGCGCGCTTCCACAGCGCGACGCTCTCGCTCCTCGCGTTTCCTGCACGCGAAAACCACCGCCCACGCAAAGCTAAAGGTTCCCCGCCCGCCCTCAAAGCCTCAGCGGACTGTCCGGGGCCAAGTGCTGTCGAGCGGCAGCGAGTCGGCGCACGAGAAGTGCCGGCAAGGTTGGGGGGGGGGGGGGGGGGGGGGGGGTGGCCAGCACCACGCCCGGCCAATGGCGATGCCTGGTGAGGGCCGAGCAGACCCTAGGGCAGGGGGCGGGCAAATTTTTTGACTCGCGGGCAACAATGGGTTCTAAAATTTGACAGAGGGGCCGGGCAGGGAGCAGATGGGCGGAGTGTTTATAAATGACATGTAAAAGTCATTACGTGAAAGGATTTGGCCTTAAACAGGCGGCAAAGCATTTATACGCAAGGCAATTTAACGAATTGCACGAACGTGAACGATACAGAAAAAAACACGCCGTAACTCCCGGTCGAAGTGCGCCATCTAATGGGGAAGTGGGGGCACTACAGGAGAAAGGTAAAATTTAATTTAATAATAATTATTATTATATTTGGACAAGTTCGGCGGGCCGGCTTAAGAAGCCCAACGGTCCGTATACGGCCCCGGGGGCCGCACTTTGCCCACGTCTGGCCTAGTGGGAGGGAACCGGAACGGTTCGGATGATCGTGGCCGCGAGCGGGAATCGAACTCGGCGTGAAGACCGACGCGCCGCCGCTCCCCATGGCGGCCCACACACAGACAGACGACACAAAGGCAAAGATCCCCCGTGTAGCCTTAACGTAATGTAGGGGCAAGTGCTGTTAGCGAGCACCTATAAAGGCCGGCACGGCACACGAAGGGGGTGGGTGGCCAACACCACGCCCGACCGCCTTCGTCTCCCTAGCGGCGACGTTTACACATCGCACCAGGTACTCATCTGAGGCCGAGTCGACCTAGGGGAGGCCCAGGAACCGGTTCAGATAATCGTCACTGGCGTTTGCCGTGAGCGGGAATTGGACCCGGGTCGCCAGGTTCGTAGTGCAGCGTAGCGCTAATCGCTACACTACCACTCCCCACTAAAAGATCCCCCCGTGTAGCCATAACAGACTGCTTGGGCGAGTGCTGTTAGCGAGCACCTACGAAGGCCCGGCACTGTGGCACACGAGGCGGGTGAGTGGCCAGCAACCACGCCCGGCCAGCGGCGATGTTTACCGCACGCCGCACACCGCACCGGGCACTCGTTTGAGGCCGAGTCGACCTAGGGGAGGCCCAGGACCGGTGTCAGATAATCGCGAGCGGGAATCGAACCCGGGTTGCTGGGTTCGTAGCGCTAGCCCGCTACCACCACCGTTCCTCACACAGGGACAGGGCACGCACGCACGCGCAGCGAGCAAGCAAGGCCTCACCGCTTCAAGTCCTCCTGCTTGAGGCGTTGCTTCTCCTCCTGCTTGAGTTTGCGCTGCTCCTCCTGGTGCTGCTTCTGCTGCTGCAGGAGCAGCTGCTCCTTCTCCTGCACAGGCGACACCGGCACTCGGCAACAACCCTGGAGGCTACCTCCTCCTCCTCCTCCGCCACACACACACACACACGTGCGTGGTATGGACGCACGCACACACGGCGTCATACCATTTCTAACGGTGGTGCGATGCGTGTACGTGGAACCCTCCGTGCTCGGGCAACGGACCAAACACGAAAAACCCAGCTCTTGCTGATGCGATGTCACGGCCGTTGTCGCGATGAAGCAAGGTCATACACGATTTCACGATGGAACGGCATCATACCACCCGCCTCTCGCCGCGACGCGATGTCAGATCCTGGACTGACCTTGGGGCCGACTTTGTTGGGCGTGTGGCTCTTGATGAAGGTGTGAGCAGAGATGATGTTGGAGATGGGAGAAGAGAGGAAGCCATGGGCCGGCCTCCTCAGAGAGGAGAGGAGCACCTTGGATCGAGGCACAGGCATCTGCGGGAGAGACACGGGGAGATGCAGGGGGGAGGAGACAGGGGGAGACACAGGGGGAGACACACAGGGAGACAGCGGGAGACACATGGGGGGAGACACAGGGGAGAGACACGGGGGGAGACACAGGGGGAAACACGGGGGGAGACACGGGGGGGAAGACAGAGGGAGACACACGGGGAGACAGCGGGAGACACACGGGGGGAGACACGGGGGAGAGACACGGGGGGAGACACGGGGGGAGACACGGGGGGAGACACGGGGGGAAACACAGGGGGAGACGCGGAGGGACACACAGGGAGACACAAGGGAGACAAGGGAGGAGACACCTCCGATTAGCACGATTGGCTACAGGGAGACACGGAGAGACACAGGGAGTTCTAGATTTGAAGCTTTCGTGACTGCAAGGATTCATACTCTTTGGTTTTATTCGGTCAAGTCACGTAGATAAAAAAACTAATTTTTTCTTTTATTTTGTTTTGAGTATAGACACAGGGGGCTACGGGGACACGGCGAGAAGTGGAGTGTAGATACGGTGAGAAGTGGATATGGAGACAAGCGGAGATGTTTGTATGGAGACACGGGATACATTGGGAGTTTGGAGATTCGGGGACACGGGGAGACACGCGGACACAGGGAGACACAGGGAGACCTTGATGCTGGGACAGCGAGGCGACCACGCCTTTTTGAAACACGGGGATACGTGGAGACGTGGTTATGGAGACACGGGGAGACGTGGATATGGAGACACAGGGACACGGTGAGAGGTTGGTATGAAGACACGGGAGATGTAGGTAAGGAGACACGGTGAGACATGGGCGTAGTGACTTATTACGTCACTACCGTGTTGAGTCTGCACACACACATGACGTCACTACACTGGGTATATAGGAATGACGTCACGGCCGGGTCAGGGAGTCTACAGGCTGTCGGTCAGTGCCACGGGGGTTGTGTGAGGCCGCGGCACTCTGTGTGAACCCGGCCGGACACGTGACCGGATCAAGGTGTGGGCCGGGGGCCCCAGGGGGACTTTTGGGGTCACGTGGCCAAGAGCAGAGCCTTCTCGAGGGTTCTAGAAGGTGGGCGTGGCCTGGGTGTGGCCTGGCCACGCCCAGGCGCATGTAAGGGGGCGCCCCGCACCTGGTGCGGGGCTGCCAGGGCCCGGGATGAAGACGCCTCGCCAAGAGTGAAGGGAAGCCTCAAGTCAGCGTGGCCAAGCAGTAGCACCTCCTGGCTTGGCCACGCCAATTGTTACCCGAGTGTCGAGTGTTCGCGAGGTTAGGTCGGTGGTCACCACCCTGTGTGTGGTGTAATTACGGTTGCGTTAATAAATAGTGTTGCCTTCACACGAGAGCGTGCGCGCATCTATCGAACCATTACATGGGTATGGAGACACCGGGAGATGTTGGTATGGAGACACAGGAACACGGGGAGATGTGGGTAAGGAGACACCGGGAGATGTGGGTAAGGAGACACGGTGAGACGTGGGTAAGGAGACACCGGGAGACGTGGGTAAGGAGACACCGGGAGACGTGGGTAAGGAGACACCGGGAGACGTGGGTATGGAGACACCGGGAAATGTTTGTATGGAGACACGGTGATACGTGGGTATGGAGACATCGGGAGATGTGGGTAAGGAGACACAGGGGAGACGTGGGTATGGAGACACCGGGAGATGTGGGGATGGAGACACGGTGAGACGTGGGTATGGAGACACCGGGAGATGTGGGTATGGAGACACGGTGATACGTGGGTATGGAGACACCGGGAGACGTGGGTAAGGAGACACGGTGAGACGTGGGAATGGAGAGACCGGGAGATGTGGGTATGGAGACACAGTGAGACGTGGGTATGGAGACATCGGGAGATGTGGGTATGGAGACACGGTGAGACGTGGGTATGGAGACACCGGGAGATGTGGGTATGGAGACACGGTGAGACGTGGGTATGGAGACACGGGGAGACGTGGGTATGGAGACACCGGGAGACGTGGGTATGGAGACACCAGGAAATGTTTGTATGGAGACACGGTGATACGTGGGTATGGAGACATCGGGAGATGTGGGTAAGGAGACACGGTGAGACGTGGGTATGGAGACACCGGGAGACGTGGGTAAGGAGCCACGGTGATACGTGGGTATGGAGACACCGGGAGACGTGGGTAAGGAGACACAGTGATACGTGGGTATGGAGACACGGTGAGATGTGGGTAAGGAGCCACGGTGATAAGTGGGTATGGAGACACCGGGAGATGTGGGTATGGAGACACGGTGATACGTGGGTATGGAGACACGGTGATACGTGGGTAAGGAGACACGGTGAGACGTGGGAATGGAGACACCGGGAGACGTGGGTAAGGAAACACGGTGATACGTGGGTATGGAGACACTGGGAGACGTGGGTAAGGAGACACGGTGAGACGTGGGAATGGAGACACCGGGAGACGTGGGTATGGAGACACGGTGAGACGTGGGTAAGGAGACACGGTGAGACGTGGGTATGGAGACACGGTGAGACGTGGGTATGGAGTCACGGGAACACGGCGAGACGCGGGTATGGAGACACCAGGAGATGTGGGTACGGAGACACGTCGGCATGGAGATTCAAGGACACGGGAGTCTCAGGGCGCGCACCTTGATCCTGCAACGGCGAGGCGACAGCGCCTTCTTCTTGGCCGGGGGAAGCTCCTCTTCGGCGGAGGAGCGCGACTCGCCGTCCCCGCCGGGCGGAAGCTCGTCCAACGACATGCTCCAGCTCCGCTTCCTACACGGAAAGACGCACAAAGGCGACACCCGTCGAGGGCCGAGTGCTGCTGGACGAGCGGCGGCGGAGCCTTGGGAAGGCCCAGGGCCGGTTAGTGGGTCGCGAGCGGGAATCGAACTCAGCTCGCCGGGGTTGGGAGTGGTTTGCAGTGCTGACTGCAAAGTGCCACGGCTCACCACCACCCCCACCACCCCCCCCCCCGACCTTCCTGTGTCCATACGGATGCATAAACACCGCACGCACCGCGCACAAGCCGCGCGCACACGCACCGCACACGTCACACACACGCACCGTACACGTCACACACACACGCCACTCACACACACACACGCCACTCGCACACATACACGCCACTCGCACACACACACGCCACTCACACACACACACACACGCCACTCACACACCGCACACGTCACACACACACGTCACACACACACGCCACTCACACACACCGCACACGTCACACACACGCCACTCACACACACACACACGCCACTCACACACACAAACACCACACAGACCAGACACACACCGCGCACACACAAACACTGCACAGACACAAACACCACACACACCGCACACACACAAACACCACACAGACCAGACACACACTGCACATACACAAACACCACACAGACCAGACACACAAACACTGCACACACACAAACACTACACAGACCACGCACACAAACACTGCACACACACAAACACTACACAGACCACGCACACAAACACCACACACACAAACACCACACAGACCACGCACACAAACACCACACACGCCACACAGAACACCGCACATGGCACACACATCATCACACACACCGCGCACACACAAACACTGCAGACACAAACACCACACACACCGCACACACAAACACCACACAGACCAGACACACACTGCACACACACAAACACCACACAGACCAGACACACACTGCACACACACAAACACCACACAGACCAGACACACAAACACTGCACACACACAAACACCACACAGACCACGCACACAAACACCACACACACCACACAGAACACTGCACAGGCACAAACACCACACACACCGCACACACACAAACACTGCACACACACAAACACCACACAGACCAGACACACACTGCACACACACAAACACCACACAGACCACGCACTGAGACTTGGGCGGCCTGTGCAACGATGACACCTCCAGGATTGAGCAGCGACTAACAAAATCCCTACCTCAGCTGCGTGGTCTCCGAGCCGGACGAAATGGATTCACCGTTTTTCACATCTGGTGGGGGGGGGTGGGGGGGGGAAATCTCAATAATAATTATTATCGCACAACGCCGGGTATTCCATTCGGTCAAGTTACGAGAGAATCTCACCACCGCCGACGAGAATCTCACCACCACCATTACAAAGTGCGTACACACACACACACAAATATATAAATGTGTCTTTAAACCCGCCACCACATTGTTATGGATTTTCTTTCCACCAAACCGGAAGGTGCTGTGTACTAGTAACGAATTGACATGTTCTGTTTACGTGACAGACTCCTTACTAATCGGCTGTGTCGAGTGGTGGCGGGGTTTAACGACAAATTTATATATATAATTACGGGAACTAACCCACATAAAAAAACCTGCGTTATGGATATTGGTCACGAAAGTATGCTTATGTTGTTCAACTTCATATTTGGTGTTTGGACATCTTAACGACTCCTGTTTTATATGCCAGAAAGGGTAAAACACACCCATTCTTATTTTTTTCCCACACTTTTGTAAAGACAGTACAGGGGACGAGCGGCCCAGGGAGTAATGAAAGGGGAATTAGCACGGGAAGAGACTAGGGGTCACCTTTTGTCTGCCAAGAACCATTTGAACATTAATAACGTCATTCGCGGGCCATACAAATTTATCAACTTAAAATTTAGCCTGTTATATTTGGTAAAACATTTCATTAACTCGCCCCTAATGCAACGGGCTGGAACTGCTTCTCTTTGGTGAGGCGTGGTGGTGATGTTAGCTGGTATTGATGATGTTAGCTGGTATTGATGATGTTAGCTGGTATTGATGATGTTAGCTGGTATTGATGATGTTAGCTGGTATTGATGATGTTAGCTGGTATTGATGATGTTAGCTGGTATTGATGATGTTAGCTGGTATTGGTGATGTTAGCTGGTATTGGTGATGTTAGCTGGTATTGGTGATGTTAGCTGGTATTGGTGATGTTAGCTGGTATTGGTGATGTTAGCTGGTATTGACGATGTTAGCTGGTATTGATGATGTTAGCTGGTATTGATGATGTTAGCTGGTATTGGTGATGTTAGCTGGTATTGACGATGTTAGCTGGTATTGGTGATGTTAGCTGGTATTGATGATGTTAGTTGGTATTGATGATGTTAGCTGGTATTGGTGATGTTAGCTGGTATTGATGATTTTAGCTGGTATTGGTGATGTTAGCTGCTATTGGTGATGTTAGCTGGTATTGACGATGTTAGCTGGTATTGGTGATGTTAGCTGGTATTTATGTTAGCTGGTATTGATGTTAGCTGGTATTGATGATGTTAGCTGGTATTGATGATGTTAGCTGGTATTGATGATGTTAGCAGGTATTGACGATGTTAGCTGGTATTGGTGATGTTAGCTGGTATTGACAATGTTAGCTGGTGTTGATGTTAGCTGGTATTGACGATGTTAGCTGGTATTGACGATGTTAGCTGGTATTGACGATGTTAGCTGGTATTGATGATGTTAGCTGGCTATTGACGATGTTAGCTGGTATTGACGATGTTAGCTGGTATTGATGATGTTAGCTGGTATTGATGTTAGCTGGTATTGGTGATGTTAGCTGGTATTGGTGATGTTAGCTGGTATTGGTGATGTTAGCTGGTATTGATGATGTTAGCTGGTATTGGTGATGTTAGCTGGTATTGATGTTAGCAGGTATTGACGATGTTAGCTGGTATTGACGATGTTAGCTGGTATTGACGATGTTAGCTGGTATTGACGATGTTAGCTGGTATTGGTGATGTTAGCTGGTATTGGTGATGTTAGCTGGTATTGGTGATGTTAGCTGGTATTGACGATGTTAGCTGGTATTGACGATGTTAGCTGGTATTGGCGATGTTAGCTGGTATTGGTGATGTTAGCTGGTATTGGTGATGTTAGCTGGTATTGGTGATGTTAGCTGGTATTGATGATGTTAGCTGGTATTGATGATGTTAGCTGGTATTGGTGATGTTAGCTGGTGTTGGTGATGTTAGCTGGTATTGACGATGTTAGCTGGTATTGACGATGTTAGCTGGTATTGGTGATGTTAGCTGGTATTGACGATGTTAGCTGGTATTGACGATGTTAGCTGGTATTGACGATGTTAGCTGGTATTGATGATGTTAGCTGGTATTGATGATGTTAGCTGGTATTGGTGATCTTAGCTGGTATTGGTGATGTTAGCTGGTATTGGTGATGTTAGCTGGTATTGGTGATGTTAGCTGGTATTGGTGATGTTAGCTGGTATTGGTGATGTTAGCTGGTATTGGTGATGTTAGCTGGTATTGGTGATGTTAGCTGGTATTGGTGATGTTAGCTGGTATTGATGATGTTAGCTGGTATTGATGTTAGCTGGTATTGGTGATGTTAGCTGGTATTGGTGATGTTAGCTGGTATTGACGATGTTAGCTGGTATTGACGATGTTAGCTGGTATTGATGATGTTAGCTGGTATTGATGTTAGCTGTTATTGATGATGTTAGCTGGTATTGGTGATGTTAGCTGGTTTTGGTGATGTTAGCTGGTATTGACGATGTTAGCTGGTATTGATGATGTTAGCTGGTATTGGTGATGTTAGCTGGTGTTGATGTTAGCTGGTATTGATGTTAGCTGGTATTGACGATGTTAGCTGGTATTGATGATGTTAGCTGGTATTGGTGATGTTAGCTGGTATTGGTGATGTTAGCTGGTATTGACGATGTTAGCTGGTATTGACGATGTCAGCTGGTATTGATGATGTTAGCTGGTATTGATGATGTTAGCTGGTATTGGTGATGTTAGCTGGTGTTGGTGATGTTAGCTGGTATTGACGATGTCAGCTGGTATTGATGATGTTAGCTGGTATTGATGATGTTAGCTGGTATTGATGATGTTAGCTGGTATTGGTGATGTTAGCTGGTATTGGTGATGTTATCTGGTATTGACGATGTTGTTGCTACTCGCAACTGCTTTTCCAGGTTTGCTCCTAGATTTATCGAATTTCGAGTCCCGCCTGCGGTTGCCTTGGCAGGGCCAGAGACCAAATGATTTCGAGGGCCTCACACGGCCCGCGGGCCGGACGATCCCCACCCCTGCGTTAAACGGACAGACAGGGTGAACGCGCTGGGGCCTACGAGAAGGATCGAGAATAGGAGCTGTGGCCGAGTGACAGAAAAGGGAGGCAAAGTTGTGCGGATCGGGGGACCCGAGGAGAACATCGAGAAGGTTCGAGTGAGAGGGGCCAGCGTGGCCACGGGTCAAGGAGTGGCGGCCCACGCTGGGAACAAAGGGGGGGGGGGGGGGCGAGACGAGAGGATCGGGGCAGCAGTTGGAGCCGGGGGGGGGGGGGGGGGGGGGGGGTCTTCGCCCTTCAATAAAGATCACCGACAAGGACAGTGCCGCCCCCCCTTTTCCTGGGTTCGTTACACTTTGATACCGGCCCGAAAAAAATAGGGGGTCCCGCTCTGCATCCTCATTCACGTCCGCGTTACGTGACGGGGGAAAGAAAAAAAAAGACGTGTTCCCAACACAGCGCATTCGTCGCGTTCTATCTCCGATTCGCGCTGTGAAAAAATAAATCGCACGCGGCGTTGCAGGAGAACCGACTCTTAAACGAAGCATCGATGCGCAGTGGATCCACGATTATCCGGCAGCTTCGAGCGGAAGGGGGTTCTCGCGCGCGCGAGCGCCGGATTAATAAAAAAACCAAGGACAGTCACGGCACCGTCATTATTTAAGATAGTTTTTTTTTTGCGTGCCTTCACGTAACGTTGCGTTTCAGGCGTCGTGTACGAGTTTTTTGGGGTTTTTTTTTTGGGGTGTTGTAAATGTGTCGACGACGTCAAATTGGTATAAATAAACGTAAAAATAAATATCCTACTGCAAAAAGTTACTGCATTTTACCGTACCGTGCTTACCACTCTAATCTCGATGCATCTGCATGGGGTGATGATGTACAGTGAGGGAAAAAAGTATTTGATCCCCTGCTGATTTTGTACGTTTGCCCACTGACAAAGAAATGATCAGACTATAATTTTAATGGTAGGTTTATTTGAACAGTGAGAGACAGAATAACAAAAAAATCCAGAAAAACGCATGTCAAAAATGTTATAACTTGATTTGCATTTTAATGAGGGAAATAAGTATTTGACCCCCTTTCAATCAGAAAGATTTCTGGCTCCCAGGTGTCTTTTATACAGGTAATGAGCTGAGATTATGAGCACACTCTTAAAGGGAGTGCTCCTAATCTCAGCTTGTTACCTGTATAAAAGGCACCTGTCCAAAGAAGCAATCAATCAGATTCCAAACTCTCCACCATGGCCAAGACCAAAGAGCTCTCCAAGGATGTCAGGGACAAGATTGTAGATCTACACAAGGCTGGAATGGGCTACAACACCATTGCCAAGCAGCTTGGTGAGAAGGTGACAACAGTTGGTGCGATTATTCGCAAATGGAAGAAACACAAAAGAACTGTCAATCTCCCTCAGCCTGGGGCTCCATGCCAATTGGTAACACACTACGCCGTGAAGGAATGAAATCCTGCAGCGCCCGCAAGGTCCCCCTGCTCAAGAAAGCACATATACATGCCCGTCTGAAGTTTTCCAATGAACATCTGAATGATTCAAGAACACCATCCCCACCATTAAACATGGAAGTGGAAACATTATGCTTTGAGGGTGTTTTTCTGCTAAGGGGACAGGACAACTTCACCGCATAAAAGGAACGATGGACGGGGCCATGTACCGTCAAATCATGGGTGAGAACCTCCTTCCCTCAGCCATGGCATTGAAAATGGGTTGTGGATAGGTATTCCAGCATGACAATGACCCAAAACACACGGCCAAGGCAACAAAGGAGTGGCTCAAGAAGAAGCACATTAAGGTCCTGGAGTGGCCTAGCCAGTCTCCAGACCTTAATCCCATAGAAAATCTGTGGAGGGAGCTGAAGGTTCGAGTTGCCAAACGTCAGCCTCGAAACCTTAATGACTTGGAGAAGATCTGCAAAGAGGAGTGGGACAAAATCCCTCCTGAGATGTTTGCAAACCTGGTGGCCAACTACAAGAAACGTCTGACCTCTGTGATTGCCAACAAGGGTTTTGCCACCAAGTACTGAGTCATGTTTAGCAGAGGGGTCAAATACTTATTTCCCTCATTAAAATGCAAATCAATTTATAACTTTTTGACATGCGTTTTTCTAGATTTTTTTGTTGTTATTCTGTCTCTCGCTGTTCAAATAAACCTACCATTAAATTTATACTGATCATTTCTTTGTCAGTGGGCAAACGTACAAAATCAGCAGGGGATCAAATACTTTTTTCCCTCACTGTACGTACTACTACGACGCTCTTGTTTCAACAACGAGATGTGTTTGACGGTCTGGCAAAGCCGTGCCCCCTTTGGAGCGGTTTTGCCGGATCGGCCCGGGACCACCGGATACACACACACACACACAACGAATCCCGTGGGCACACACCTATGATGGCTGGGACGGCACACGAGGGGGTGGGTGGCCAGCACCACCCCCGGCCGCCTTTGTCGCCCCAGTAGCGATGTTTACACACCGCACCAGGTACACATTTGAGGACGTTCGACCTAGGGGAGGCCCAGGACCGGTTCAGATAATCGTCACCGGCGCTGGCCGTGAGCGGGAATCGAACCCGGGTGCCCAGGTTCGTAGCGCAGCGTAGCGCTAACCGCTACACTACCTCTCCCCACTCGTACACACTGACGCGCGCGCACATACACACACACGTGCTCTCACCTCGCTCCACCTCCTCCTCCTGCTCCTCCATGGCGCACCGCCGCGCCATCGCCGCCGTGACCGCCGCGGCCGCCGCCAGGTTGCTCCGGCGTGCCCGCTCCCGCGCCAGGCTGGCGCGCTGCTTGCCCTGCGAGTAGCGGCTCGCCAGGATGGAGGACACCACGCCGGCGGCGGCGGTGGCGCGGCTCTGCCGCGTCGGACGCTGCACCCCTCCGGGCGACGACACGGCGGCGGTGGCGGCGGCGCTGCTGGCGTTGAGCGAATCGGAGAGATGCACCGGATTGGCTGTGTCGGCTCTTGCTTCCACCGCTGCTGCTGCCGCCCACCCGGATCCTACAGCTTCCCCTCCTGCTGCTGCTGCTGCTGCCGCTGATGTCCACAGTCTCCGGGTTGAATGTCCGCTGGTCAGTTCCGAGTTGGCGCCGCTGGCGTCGGCCTCCATGGTGGCGTTAGGAGGCCTGGGCGTTGCCTGCAAAGCCAAATTCGGGTGTCAAAGTTGGATTTCGGTGAAGCCCGGTGAGAACTCAGGTGATCCCGGGATGTGGAGTCGTCGTTTGCAGGAGTGGGTGAACGATGAGTGGGTGGGCAGGTGGGTGAACGAATGAGTGAGTGGATGAGTGAGTGGGTGAGCGAGTGGGTGAGCGAGTGGGTGAGCGAGTGGGTGAGCGAGCGAGTGGGTGGGCGGGTGAGCGGGTGGGTGAGCGGGTGGGTGAGCGGGTGGGTGAGCGGGTGGGTGAGCGGGTGGGTGAGCGGGTGGGTGAGCGAGTGGGTGAGCGAGTGGGTGAGCGAGTGGGTGAGCGAGTGGGTGAGCGAGTGGGTGAGCGAGTGAGTGGGTGAGCGAGTGAATGAGTGGGTGAGTGAGCGAGTGGGTGTGTGGGTGAGCGGGTGGGCGAGCGGGTGGGTGAGTGGGTAAGTTAGTGGATGAATGGGTGAGTGGGTGAGCGAGTGGGTGGGTGAGTGAGTGGGTGAGCTAGTGGATGAATGGGTGAGTGGGTGAGCGGGTGGGTGAGTGGGTGATTAAGTGAGTGGGTGAATGAGTGGATGAATGGGTGAGTGAGCCAGTGGGTGAGCGAGTGGGTGAGCGAGTGGGGCTTATGCCGTGAATTTGGATATACAGCAAACCCTATATCGGCTCGCGAATGAATTCCCAAATGCATAAAAACCTCGTTCCAGTGAGGAAAAATGGGGTTACGTTCCTGGTACGAGTGAACAACATGGGGGGGGCGGGGTGGAACTGGTAAATATTTAATAACAATGAATATATAATTAAGAGCAATGAAATGTTTACTTGCCTATAACAATAATACATTTAAACAAACCATTAAAAACTGTATTTTTTATTACCTTTGGTGATGATGACGATGCAGCCACTTTTGGCTTGCCATCGAACAAAGACGGTAGTCACTGCATTGTCGCGGGGCGCTTTCAGATGCGATATGCACTACACTGCACTACTATATACACTACACACTACTCTTCTATATACACTACACCACACTACACACTACTATATACACTACACTACTACATACACTACACACTACACTACACTCTTCTATATACACTACACTACACCACACTACTATATAAACTACACTACTACATACACTACACACTACTATACACTATACTACTCTATACTCTACACTACTATACACTACTCTATACACTACACTACTATATACACTACCCTATACACTACACTACTATATACACTACACACTACTATACACTACGATACATTATACTATACACGATGATACACTCCACTACTATACACTACGATGCACTACACCATACACTACACTACACACTACGATACACTACACACCACTATACACTAAACTATACACTACACTACGATACACTCCACTATACACTACGATACACTACACTACCCTATACACTACACTACCCTATACACCACACTTGTGGCTCAGCCATCGAACTATACACTACACTACGCTATACACACTACACTATACACTAAGATACAAAGATGGCTACCTCGCCTCTCATACAGGAGCTCGTGGGTTCGATACCGAACCTGACACCTGCTGCTGTTTATTTGGAGTCTGCGTCTCTCTCTCTCTCTCTCCACCCCCCCCCCCCCATGGTCGCGTGGATTTTGTCTCCGGGTCCTCCGGTTTTTCCCCTCCGCGTTTAGAATCGACGTCACCGCGCGTTTAGAGGATTTGGCTGCCGCCGTTTCATTTCCACGCGACGATGAGCCCACGTCGCGGAGCTGTCATCTGCGACAGGGCAGGTCGCCTCTGCAAAAAAAATGAGCTACGTAGCTCAGTGGGGCCATGCCTGGTAACGATTAAAAAAAAAATCATCTCTAAAGTTCTCTCTACATTTCTCTCTCTGCGTCACCGCGCGAACGTCAACGCCGGCAACCGCTGCCGCCCTGCCCTGCCTTGCCCCTTCCCGTTACCCTTGCCCTGCCCCTGCGTATGCCCTACCTTCGATGCCGACGCAATCAGCTCCTCGTAGCGACCCACCATGTTCAGCACCGTCCTGCCCGCCGCACCCCGGGAGCTGTTCGCCCTCGCGCTGGCTGCGGCGGCACTCCCGGCGCCGGAGGAGACCGTGGAGTGAGCGGCCATCTGGCGCACGACCGAGCGCGTGAGCACGCCCGTCGACGAGGTGGCCAGCCTGCTCTGCCGGCCAACGTGGTTGCAGCGAAGTCTGGTGCTGCACGCGGCGAGGAGGAGTGATGGTGGGAAGGGAAGGGGTTAGGAGGAGGAACAAACGCTGGCCGAGTGAGTGACGGGACAGGGTCACCCCCGCCATCACGAGGCGACGTCGCGAGATGCCGCGCGCGATGTTGCACGTGGGACAACCTTGCCCAACTCGGCTTCGTCTCGTGGTGCACTGATGGAATAGGATGAGGAGGATGAGGACGAGGAGGATGAGGACGAGGATGACGAGAACGAGGAGAACTGGTAAAGCTGGCTGAGCAAACGACAAGACAAGGTGCGCGCCAACACGAGGCGACGCTGCGGAACACTGCACGATGTTCGATGCAGGAAAACCTTGTCCAAGACGCAGCTGTATTGAACGCGTGGGCTGTGGCCATGCCACGCGGCTGACCTATGTACGGGCGTCGAACGTCTTTGGTACAAACTGAGCAATCTTTGGAAGGACGTTATCAAACAGTTTAAGTCATAACTGGCTGTGATGTTCCCATCCTACCACCTTACGATGTTAGTTGTTATTTTCGGCTCTAAGATTTTACATGAACAGGTTACATTTCTCGCACCAACGCAGCCACCTTCGTGCGCCGTACCTAGAGGTTACGGCTCTGCGATCCTCCATTTGACATGCGAATCTCTCGCATTAACATAGCCACGTGGCCGGCCGTGCTTATTTTGAGGTGCGGGGGAAATGGACAATAAACTAATGAGGTCGGTTCTCCGGAGGACGCCTGGTATGCAGGAGGTCGTAGGCTCGATCCCGACCCCGGTGCCTGGAGTACATTCGGAGCTTGCATGTCTCTCTCGTTCTCTCCGTGGTCACGGGAATTTTTTTTTCTTTTCTTCGGGGCCCCCAGTTTTTCCCTCAGCAATTAGAAATCAACTTCACACGTTTGGAGTTATTTGGCCGCCAGTGTAGAAGTCAACGTGATGACGATGATAATGATAAGCCACTTCGTTGAGCTATCATTTGCGATAGCCGGGGTCGGTTTCTGAAAAAGAGCCAACTATACAGCTCAGTGGGCCTTAACTTGGTAAAATAAAAATAGTTGATCGAGTATGGGTTTCGATAAGTATGGGTCTCTATGGTTCTCTCCGTGTCTCAGGATCTCTGTGCGTCTCGATACTATTAGTCTGCAGAAACTTGCGTTGGGATATCTGTAAAACAGCTACACAACTCAGCAGTGGGGCCTGACCTGGTAAAAACAAGTTTATTGAGCACGGGTCTCTATGGGTCTATACGAGTCTATGGATCTCTGTGGGTCTATGGGTCTCTATACGAGTCTGGAGAAACTTGCGTTGGGATATCAATTGCGATAGACAGGGTCGCTTCTGAAAAACAGCTACACAGTTCAGCAGTGTGGGACCTTAGGAGCCATCCATTTAGTACGTACGCATGGAGGGGTTAACCCAAATGTGTACGCTCGCGTATGGGAGGTCTACTGACAAATCGGTTCTCGCTAAAGGGTAGAGTTTTACAGTCACCCCTAAACACATCCCAGTTGATGATATCATTGCCCAGGCTGACGTAGCCCTTAAAGGGTCATTACTGCAGACGTGGCAGGATCAGAAATCACTGCAATCCTCAAAAACGCTCAGGCACCTATTAGCAACATCAGTAACGATGAGCGATGTAGTCTATTTGTTTACCAGAGTTCCTGTGCCTGACACCATTGCAATCATTGAAGATTTGGTCTAACAAAGACTGAATGCTGATGTACCGGCCCTGGTGAGACACTGCCTCACCAACACTTACTTCACCTGGAATGGAACATTCTACAAACAAGTTGAAGGTACCCCAATGGGTTCTCCCTTATCTCCAGTTCTAGCCAATGTTTTCATGAAAATTTTGAGACGGATGCCATCCAGGCATCCACACTACGTCCGTCTTTGTGGAAGAGGTACGTAGGTGACACATTCGTCATCTGGACACATGGCCGACCACCTCTGAACCAATTCCTCAACCACATCAATTCCATGCACCCAGCCATCAAATTCACTATGGAGGTGGAAAAGGATAGCAAGCTACCATTCCTGAATGTTTAATCGAAAAGAGACCAGATGGCTCAATGGGACACTGTCTACAGGAAAGCCATCCACCACCATCCATCCCAGAAGAATTCCCTCATCCAAACGCGGCACCGTGGAGTTCGATGTATTTCCGACCATCATCACCTATTCTTGGTTCTTTCGGTAAAGTCACGTAGATAGAAAAAAAAAGATAATAAAATTTAATAAAAATAGTATATTTAAAATAAAAAAAGCAAATAAACCACGACGTTTTGATCGCAACACAAGCGGTCTTCATCACGTACACCAAGCTCCCAAGATGAATGAATATTCAGACTACACAATCCGTAATGCTATCACATCAACCGTTGGGAAAGAACCAACTGAGGACCGAATCAAAACCATCACCTTGCCATGCATAACAGGGGTCACCAAAAAGATTTACAAAATCACGAGCAGAAACAAGATCCAAGTTTCAATTGGACACAGTACATAAAATTTGTGATCTGATCCCTGACATGCAATACCCCGGTGTCTACAAACTAAGCTGTGTCTGCAGCAGTAGTTACATTGGGGAAACTAAGCGACATGTCTCGGACCGTGTTCGTGAACATAAGGCAGAACTGAAACACGGTAGGACCAATACCTCAGCCGTTGCTTATCATTGTTTTAATGCGGTGGGCTCACACGAAATTGATTTCTCTAAGACGAAGGTACTTTGCAAACCCACTGGCTATCAACAAAGATTCGTCGATGAAGCCATCCATATATGGACACAGACAATTTCAACCGAGAAGATGGGTACAAACTGAGCAATCGTTGGAAGGACGTTATCAACCAGTTTAAGTCATAACTGGCTGTGATGTTCCCATACTACCACCTTACGATGTTAGTTGTTATTTTCGGCTCTAGGATTTTACATGAACAGGTTACATTTCTCGCACCAAAGCAGCCACCTCTGTGCGCCGTACCTAGAGGTTACGGCTCTGCGATCCTCCATTTGACATGCGAATCTCTCGAATTAACATAGCCACCTCAGCGCGCTCACCGTGGAGGCCGCTCACCGATCTTACATTAACCATGCACATTTTTTTTTACCTGGCATCCCTTTAAATTGGTGGAAAACCCTCCACCGTCGCGGTCGCTTCCCCACCACTCACACCAACATTGGTTGCCCCGTCCATGCTGCTCACATTTGGGCCACATGCCCATCTCAAACCTTTGTAAACAGTTTGCCTTTAGATTTTAGAAGCTAACCCCCATTTCCTGATAACGACCGTCAACCTAGCTACGTGACTTTACCGAAAGATCCAAACAATATGAATTCCTGCAGTCACGAAAGCTTTAAGTCATGAGTTAGATAGTCCGGCGATGGACTGTTTGCTTAAACACGTTAATATAATTAATCCTTGATCGTTTCTGCGTGGATTAAATATCGGCCATTCTATAGGATTTGGATTTGGGGGAGGGGGGGGGGTGCGTCAAGCGTATGTACGCAGGTGGGAGGGGGAGGTGTAAAAAGTACAGGTGCGTACAGGGAGGGGTCAAGTTGAGAGATTTTTGCGTACTTACTAAATAGATGGCTCCTTACCTGGTAAAATAAAAAGTAAATTGAGGGTGGGTCTCTATGGTTCTCTACGAGTCTATACGAGTCTCTGGATCTCTGTGGGTCTATGGGTGTCCCTACAAGTCTGTCGAAAAATGCGTTGGGATATCATTTGCGATAGCCACGGTCAATTCTGAAAAAGAGATACACAAATCAGTGGGCCTTAACCTGGTAGAATAAAAACAGTTGATTGAGTACGGGTCTCTATGGGTCTCTACGAGTCGCTAGATCTCTGTGGGTCTATGGGTCTCTATACGAGTCTGGAGAAACTTGCGTTGGGGTATCATTTGCGATAGAGAGGGTCGCTTCTGAAAAACAGCTACACAGCTCAGCAGTGTGGGGCCCCTTACCTGCTAAAAAACATGAATGAAATATAAAAAAACAGCTTAATAAGTTTGTCGTGCGTGACGTCAGCCGGTCGTACCGTGGCGGGGTGTTGTACTGGTTCGTGTTGCAGGCGACAGAGCTTTTGCGTAGACGTCTCCGATTCTTGGCCGACGGAGTCTTGGGGAGCATCTCCGGTGCTTTTCTGGAAAGCAGAGAGATTGATAAAAGCGTCCTGCTCGGAAGATGGCACCCAATGATCAAATCCCATCGCTGGCTGCCAACCCAGTCAATGTCAACGAACTTCAAAATGTCCCCCACCAGCCTGCCTCTCTCCCCTCCTCTCATCTCACTCGCCTCCCATCCACGCACTCTCCTACCTCTCTCCTGTCACTCTCCCCGCCTCCACGCACTCTCCTACCTCTCTCCACCCCTCCACACTCTCCTACCTCTCCCCTCTCACTCTACCCCCTGCCACGCACTCTCCTACCTATCTCCTGTCACTCTACACCCCTCCACGCACTATCCTACCTCTCCCCTCACTCAACTCACTCTCCTACTTCTCCCCACTCTCTTCTCCCCTCCACTCACTCTCCTACCTCTTTCACTCTCTCTACTCCCCTCCACTCACTCTCTTACCTCTCTCCTCTCTCGGCTCCCCACCACTCCCCTCTCACTATTCCCCTCCACTCACTCTCCTACCGTCTCTCTACTGCCCTCCACTCTCTCCTACCTCTCCCCTCTCATTCTTCTCCCCTCACTCTCCCCACCCCCCCCGCCCCATCCACAGGCTTTCAGACTCACGCGGCGGAGAAGTGCAATTGGGCCTCGTTCACGATCTCCTCGAGCCACTGTGTCTTTGGCCTCATCACCGTCTCGTCGAAATCCAGCAGGAGGCTATGCACCTTGTCCCGCATCGTGAACGTGATGTCGCCAATCTCCAGCTTGGTCACGTTGGCCTCCTGTGCGAGAGAACCGCGCAGCGGCAGGCAATCTTAAGCCGTGCAACTGTCGCTTAACTTCACCGGGCATAGGGCCCACCTGAGCTGTACGGGCAAGTCCTCGACTAGCGAACACAATTTGTCGCCAGGGTACGTCTGCGCATCGACCCGCCGTCGTTCCGACGCGGTTGGCCGTCACGCCGCTGGCCGACACACGGTGGGGCGACAGGCGAGTGGGGCGTTCCGAGCGAACGAGGTCACCAGTGAGCGAGCGAGGGAGCGACTTGGCGAGTGAAGTCGATGGATTAAATCGACGTCTGCGAGGAGGGATGTCGAAAGGGCCCGGAGGAGGTGCGATAAATATTTTGGGTCTCATTGTAGGTGTTTGTGTACTGCACGTTGAACTTCTTTCGCACCATACGTAGCCAACCGATGGTGTAGTGTATAAGATGAACGTTGAGATTTGTAAGGGGCACGGGGTGACCAATAAGATCTGAATCGGTCGGTAATAAGGTAGGGCACTCATACGGGGTTGAGAGCTATGCAGTAGTGTACTGTATAATAGTGTATAGTGCAGTATATAGTCGTGTATAATGTAGTGTATAGTGTAGTGCATAGTGTAATGCATAGTGTAGTGTATAGTGTAGTGTATAGTAGTGTACAGTGTAGTGTATAATAGTATATAGTGTAGTGTATAGTAGTATATAGTGTAGTGTATAGTAGTGTATAGTGTAGTGTATATAATGAACGTTGAGATGTATAAGGGCCACGGGGTGACCAATAAGATCTGAATCGGTCTGTAATAAGGTAGGGCACTGATAAGGGGTTGACAGATTTGGCGATCCCGAGTCGTAGTCGCAGCAGCAGCACCACCTACAAAGGCCGGCACTGTAGCACAGAAGGGGGGGAAGCCGGTGGCCAGCACCACGCACGGCCGCCTTTGTCTCCCCCCCCTCCCCATCCCCCCAGTGGCGATGTTTACTGCACGCAGCACTCATTTGAGGCAGAGTCGACCTAGGTGAGGCCTCCTCATCGCCAACCTACACGAACGCGATCGATAGCCGACGATTATGATGATGTGCGGAGACCTCCATCCAGCAGCGGATCGAACACGGCCCAATACGAGGGGCAGAGGAGCGGGGGGGATGACGGGCAGTGGAGACGCCAACTCTCGACCAAGTGGATGGGACGCATCCAGGAGTGGACAACCAAGTACGTGCAGGAATAGCGCGCACACGTTGTGTCATCACGTCTATACCCCTTCTAATTTAAGGACTGAAACTACAAATATGGCCGTCGACTGACGATGCCGGTTTTTAATTACTTCGTAACATTTAATTGTAAATTAATTGTAAATGTTACGGCTTGGCTCTCCAATACACAACCGGTGGGTGCTGTACTAGTATACTACACTATACACTACACTATACAAATATCGATTTAAAGCTTTCGTGACTGCAAGGATTCATCTTCTTTGGTTCTTTCGGTAGAGTCACGTAGAATGAGAAAAAATAAATAAATTGATAACTGACTTTACCGAAAGAACCAAAGAAGACTATACAAATACTATGCACTCGTGCTATACTAGTAACAAATTGGCACGTTCTGTTGACGTGAAAAACCCCGTTACTAATTGTCTGCGTCGGATGGTGGCGGGTTTAACAATGCATTTATATATTTACACGATCGAACCCAAAACACCCGAAATTATGAGTTTATAGCAGCCAAATACTGTACTCTAAACGCATGATTTTGAGTCTAAATATGAGGGTTATCCATAACAGAGGTTCTCCCTCCACATTCATTACAACCGGCACCATTAATTACTGGCGAAACGTCAACTCAAGATTGTGAATGTTGTAGCGAGACTCTCCAACACACCGGTGTAGTGCTGTACTAGCATACTACACTATACACTACTATACACTACACTATACACTACACTTCTATACACTACACTATACACCACACACTATACTATACACTGCTATACACTACACTATACACACTACTCTATACACACTACACTATACACAGTGCTGTACTAGTAACAAATTGGCACGTTCTGTTGACGTGACAGACCCCGTTACGAATTGTCTGTGTTTGGTGGTGGCGGGGGGAGGGGTATTAACGACACAACATTTAGATGTTTTATTACGAGATCTAACCCTCCCCCAAAAAGCAACCTTTATTGTGGATATTGGTCGCGAAACCTTCACAGTTACGACTTAAAGTCGATATTAGCGACCGAAACGACAGCCGAGATATATTAAAAAAACTACGTCAGATGTAAAATTGTTCAAGTATTAATCGCTGTGATTATTGTTCGGGATCCATGGTACAGGTTTTTTGTTGTTGTTGTTGGTTCGATCGCGTAAATACATCAATTGTTGTTGTGTCGTTAAACCCCGCCACCACCCGACTTGTAATGAGCTGTGTCACGTAAACAGAACGTGACCAATTCGTTACTTGTACGGCAACACGTTTTATATATATTGTGTGTGTGCATAGAACGTTAACAACGTTATATACATAAGAGTACGTGCGTACCGTATATAGAACGTTAAAGTTATACTGGTAGGAACGAATTTATAAACTGAGTGTACCAGCCTGCAATAGATTAATGTGTCCGTCCGTCCCCTTTCAATACTTTAACGAAGTGAAATTTCGTGTTGTTGGGTGTAAAATTTGTCCGATGAACCCTCAACGATTTTGGAGGGCAAAAAGGTGGGAAGACCGCTCTCACTTTGCATAATTTTACGTAACAATGTCGTAAAATTGCGCAAAATTCCAATGTTCCTACCAGCCCACCCTGCAGGGACCTGTTATAATGGACGTGATTATCTGTCTGGGATTGTTCAATTGGCCTGAGGGCCAGTTTCAGTTTTTTTCAGTTTCGTTTATTTGGTATAGCCCCGTGTGAGCCATTCGGCTCTTGAATCGGGTGCAACCGCAACAAACTAAAAACACAAAAACAAGAAAAACATCTTGAAGTGACTACGTGTGTGACTGTACAAAACAGAAAATCCAGGACAAAAAAACAGGAAAAAAATATGACAGAAAAAGCGCCGTGCGCCACACCAACGTCTCTGCAAGTCAAAACAACAGCCACAAGACAAAAAAATGTTGATTTAAAGCTTTCGTGACTGCAGGGATTCATATTCTTGGTTCTTTCGGCAAATACTCTTTGGTTCTATTGGGTAAAGTCACGTAGGTGAAAATAAAATAACAAAAAAATCCTACGCGACTATACCCAATAGAGCCAAAGAGTATGGATCGTAGCAGTCACGAAAGCTTAAAATCTTTCGGCACAGTCACCACGTAGATAGGGAAACAATAAAATAATATCGTTTCATTATTTTTTTTGTTTCCCTTCAAAACGTGGTGACTTTACCGAAAGAAACAAGAATATGAACCACAAGACAACTTTAGATTTAAGGCCGTCAATCTTAAATCCGTACTGCAACAAACAAACGTGGATACAAAAAAAACTTTTTTTTAAACGTTTTTGAAATCGTCCAAAATAAAACCATAATTGCAACGTAACAGCGATCACAGGGACCGTGACCGAAACGTTTAAAAAATAAAACTACATAAATAACATGGCAACACCAAAACGCTGTAGGCCATAGCTGATTGCGCGAGTCACTTCCACAACAACGTTACACGTATATATATTTGTTTGTTTAAGCGTTGTACATAGAATCTTGACTTAAAAGCTTGCGTGACTGCAGTTAATTCATATCCTTTTGGGAACTCTTTTGCTAAAATCGCGTAGATTGGTTCGAAGTAAATAAAAATTTTTTTTTAAAACCACCTCAACACGACGTTTCGATCGCAACGCGAGCGCGGGTGTCGGTCTTTTTTGCACGTCGATAGGTTCAAAAGTGAACAACAACAACCCCCCAACAAAACGAAAAGAACCCCAAACAAACAAACAAAAACCAACACCTCACGACGACGTTTCGATCGCAACGCGAGCGGCCGTCTTCAGGGACGTGACAACCCCGCGCTTGCGTTGGTGTCCGTGTCCGTTTTAGTGTCCATTTTTTTTATTTTACATAGTGTCCGTTTTTTATTCTTTCGTTATTTTCCTTGAAACCAATCTGCGTGACTTCACCTACCCACCCCACCTCTAGAATGTTAAAGTTGTTTAAATCGACGCCGTTTTCTGTATCGGTCCGGAAATTTAGTCGCGTTGTTTGTCAACGGGCCCAGAGGCCCCCAGGGCGATTTTCTACTCGCGAACAAACAAAAACACAAGGGCAAAGTTCGCTCTGTCTACATGTGTTGTTAACAAGTTATTTATCTCTCTCTCTAAATTTAATTTAAACTTTTTCCCTCACCTCCATAGCGTCGGCTCCGCCGTTCCCGCCTTTGCAATCGCCACAGCAGATTTCAAATTTCTCGCTCTCTGCCCCGCCCCCTCCTCCCCCCCGGCGTTTGGAGCCAATGGGAGAGCGGCTTACTCAGTGGTGCACGCCCCCCCCCTCTCCCACTACGTCACGTCCCTCACCCAGTGGGGCGGCAGGCTCTCATTGGTCGGTTTCCTCTTCCCTCCCCCTCCCTCCCTCCCTCTCTCTCCGCTCTCTACCCCGCCCCTCTCTCCCTCCCCTCTACCCCGCCCCCCTCTCCCTCCCCTCTCCATCCCCTCTCTCCCTCCCTCTCTCTCCCCTCTCCCTCCCTCCCCCCTCTCTCTCCCCTCTCCCTCCCCTCTCTCCCCTCTCCCTCCCCCCTCTCCATCCCCCTCTCTCCATCCCCCCTCCCTCCCCCTCCCTCCCCCCTCCCTCCCCTCTCCCTCCCTCCCCCCCCTCTCCCTCCCCCCTCTCCATCCCCCCTCCCCCCTCTCCCTACCCCCTCTCCCTCCCCCCTCTCCCTCCCCTCTCCCTCCCCCCTCTCCATCCCCTCTCTCCATCCCCCCTCCCTCCCCCCTCTCCCTCCCCCCTCTCCCTCCCCTCCCTCCCCTCTCCCTCACCCCTCTCCATCCCCTCTCTCCATCCCCCCCTCCCTCCCCTCTCCCTCCCCCCTCCCTCCCTTCTCCCTCCCCCTCTCCCTCCCCCTCCCTCCCCCCTCTCCCTCCCCCCTCTCCCTCCCCCCTCTCCATCCCCCCTCCCTCCCCCCTCTCCCTCCCCCCTCTCCCTCCCCTCTCCCTCCCCATCCCCCCCTCTCCCTCCCCCCTCCCTCTCCCTCCCCTCTCCCTCCCCATCCCCCCTCTCTTTTTTAACGATCAGAGGAAACAAGATGCTCGGTGTAGTCGGCACTTTGCTTCGTTCATCATTTCGGGTTTTTGTTCTTGTTTTAATGCTTTGCTTTATGTAACAAAATATTAATGTACTGCTCTCCTTACCCCCTCCTTCTCTCTCTACCCCCCTCTCTCACCTCCCCCCCTCCCTTCCCCCCCTCCCTTCTCCCCCCCCCCGCCTCTCTACCCACCCGCCTCTCTCCCCCCTCTCTCTCCTCCCTCTCCCTCCCCCCCTCTCCCACCCCCCTCTCCCTCCCCCATCCCTTCTCCCCCCTCTCCCTCCATCCCTCCCCTCTCCCCCCTCCCTCCATCCCCCCCTCCCTCCCCCCCGCCTATCTCCGCCCCCGCCTCTCTTCCCCCTCCCTCCCTTCTCCCCCCCGCCTCTCTTCCCCCTCCCTCCCCCCTCCCTCCCCCCTCCCTCCCCTCTCCCTCCCCCCTCCCTCCCCCCTCCCTCCCCTCTCCCTCCCCCCTCCCTCCCTTCTCCCCCCCCCGCCTCTCTCCCCCCCTCTCTCTCCTCCCTCTCCCACCGCAGTAACGTTGACGGTGGCAACCAATGAGGAAGGAGTTTGCTGGGAAATTTAAACTGTCGTGGGGGAGTGGTGGTGGGTGGGGTTGGTTTGCTCATTTACATATTAACGGGCGTCACTCGCCGGGGAATCGATTCCTCGGAAGTCGATTCCGCTGCAGGTTTGTAGTTTTGGGTTAACGCTTTAGTTTATTTTTTTATACGCAGCGTGTATAACACAAAATAAATAGTCCGTAAGTTCACGCCGCAGTGGATAGATCATGGCTAGCGCCGATGTTGGCATCGCCGCTCGATGTATTTCTCCGCGCGTGTAGATTAAATCGATAACCTGAATCGAGGCTATAATTCGTTGCAGGATCAATATCGATTCACAGGCGACGCATTCGCATGTAAAGGAAATCGTGATTCGATTAACGCGGTTTCGATTGGTGTGGAATCGCGATTCCTTTATTTTTGTATCTATGGAAGAAGGTTCATTGCCCGAAACGTCGCCAAATACGCAGCCGGTTGTTATGGACACGGAGCGTGTTGTGTGTTGTTAATTTACACTTTGTATCTAAGCTTACATATAAACCCATAGACTCACATAGAGACCCATAGACTCACATAGAGACCCATAGACTTACATAGAGACCTATAAACTTACATAGAGACACATATACTTACATAGAGACCCATAGACTTACATAGAGACCCATATACTCACATAGAGACCCATAAACTCACATAGAGACCCATAGACTCACATAGAGACCCATAGACTTACATAGAGACCCAGACTTACATAGAGACCCATAGACTCACATAGAGACCCATAGACTCATATAGAGACCCATGGATTCACATAGAGACCCATAGACTCACACAGAGACACATAGACTCACATATACTTACATAGAGACCCATAAACTCACATAGATACCCATAAATTCACACAGACCCATAGACTTACATAGAGACCCATAGACTTACATAGAGACCCATAGACTCACATAGAGACCCATAGAATTACATAGATACCCATAGACTTACATAGAGACACATAGACTTACATAGAGACCCATAGACATACATATATACCCATAGACTTACATAGACACATAGACTCACATAGAAACCCATATACATACATAGAGACCCATAGACGTACACAGAGCCATAGACTTACATAGAGACCCATAGACTTACATAGAGACCCATAGACATACATAGATACCCATCTATCCTCTATGTTACGGTTTTCGAATTATTCAGATGTCAACATCATACAATGCTTGCATCCGAAATATCTAAAAAAAATATGAAAGATAGAACCCCAGTGTGGTCCTGGCTTTAATTATATTTGCCATCTAACGCTCTCTTGTCAAACGAAAAAAAACCCGCAAACTTACATTGTGAACGGCTTCTGAATGACACCACGCACTCAAACGTGTTCATGGGGCACTCGAACGTCGAGATTTGTGGCCCTTAAAATGACAAGTCTGGGATTTTCTGATTTTCTCCCTTCTGTTGTTTGTGTCCTAGAAGCGACCTGTGTACCACATCTCAACTTTCTACCTTGTCGGGAAGTAACCCTAGAAGTTTTTTGAGACTACGTACACATTCGAATCTGTATTTGCGTATAAGATAGATCTTCTCTCTTCTGTTGTTTGTGTCCTAGAAGCGACACGTGTAACCAAATGTCATCTGTCTACCTTGTCGGGCAGTAACCCTTGAAGTGTTTTGAGACTACGTACACATTCGGATCTGTATTTGCGTATAAGATAGATTTTCTCTCTCGTGTTGTGTGTGTCCTAGAAGCGACCTGTGTACAACATCTCAGGTGTCTACCTGGTCGGGAAGTAACGCTATAGATGTGTTTGAGACTACGCACACTTTAAGGTATTTATTTACGTAGAAGATATAAGATAATAATAATAGGGTTTCCCCCCTTTTTTTTCTGGCAACAAAACTGAAACCTTTTACGAGGAATCGTCTCTGCATTAACCACAATACTTGTGGCCAACAAAAAAAAACACACTGATAACATGATGCATTGTCCCCGAATCTGATTGGCCCGCACCAGAGACGGCTTTCTTTTGAGCCTCGTCTCCATAGATTTTTCTCTCTCGTGTCGTTTGTGCCCTAAAAGGTGCATCAAATGCCAGCTTCCCACCCCGTCCGAAAGTAACCCTAGAGGGCTTGTTGAGACTACGTACAGATGAAGGTCTTCATTTACATCGAAGATCGATTGGATTCCGGTCAATTGAATTCCGGTCAATTGAATTCCGGTCAACCGGAATCCAATGCAGCTCAGCGACGGACAAACTGGGGGATCTTGCACCACCCCGGCCTTTTTTTTCATTATTACGCGCTTTTATTTAACTCACTCTGCCTGTTGTTGTTGTATCCTCAAATCTTGTAACTCAATGTTGACCCGCTTCCCAATGTGGTATCGACTGCAAACTTGGTATGCTTATGTCATACTGATGACAGTACTATATTCTATCATTAAAAATAAAAAAATATATTTTTTAAACATTTTTTTTTTTACATATGTTATGTTTCGGCTTGGGTCTAATTGTCCACGCTCAACTGACGTTGGCTGTAATTGGACCACGGTCCCCCTTACGTTGTGGCAAGCTTCGGGAGTCGTGGAGTTCTGCCATTTACTCGAAGGGTACATTTCATTAGACCTCCTTTGCCGGTACCAAAATATAACAGATTATCATAGTGTGTGTTTTTTGTTTGCATTTTGACTGGAGGTATTGTGGTTAATGCAGTAAACATGAATGCCTGTAAAAAGGTTTCAGTTTTGTTGCCAGAAAAAAAGGGGAAAACCCCTATTGTTATAGTACGGTACATTTAATAAAAGCGTGTTTTTTAAAGTTTTTTTTAAATATTACTTTTTTTTTGCCAGACGTTCCGTAGAGTAGCGAGTTACGGATAATAATCGCGCCTTGTCGATGCTACTACGTATTCTTTGGGTCTTTCGGTAAAGTCACGTAGATAGGTTCAAAGAAAATGACAAAAATAAATAAATAAAACTGCCACGTTTCGATCGCAACGCAACGCTTGTGTCGCGATCCAAACGTCGCAGTTTTTGTTGTTGTTATTTTTTTGTTATTTTCTCTGAGCCTATCTTTGTGACTTTACAACGCTTTGTGTCGCGATCGAAACGTCGTCGTCGGTTTTTTTTAACTTCGAACCTATCTCCGCGACTTCACCGAAAGACCCAAAGAATGTGAATTCCTTCAGTCACGAAAACTTTCAGTCGCAGATTTGATGCCACTACGCTCCGTCACGGCTCGATCGGCGGTGGAATTCGTCGCCGCTGAGCACATCGGCAGGAGCTGGCGGTATCCCGCATCGGGGTGGTCGAGCGACGAGGCTCTTTGAGACGCGAGCCGAGAAAGTGAATCCCAGACTTTTTAACCACGACAGCTGATCCTTATTTTTTGCGACGTGGTCGAGCGACGAATTCCCGCTCGAGTGCGGTGCAGAGGCTCTTGAGACGCGAGCGGAGAACCAAATATCCCAGAGTCCGTGACCACCGCAGCTGATCCTCCACCTTTTTTTAGTTTCGCTTGAGCCCGAGTGCCAGCCAACAGAACCTCCGATTGTTTTGGATGATGAGATGATGATAATGATGATGATGGTGGTGGTGGTGATAATGGTGATGGTGGTGGTGATGATGGTGGTGATGATGAGAGGGTG